GTCTTCAACTTATTCCAACCTTTAACACAAAAGTGCACTTTTGTATGGTGGTAGTGCTGCTGCAGCCCTCCTTAGATCAGGCCATAGCCTGGTAGCAGGTCCACCCCTCTAGTTGAAAATCACATCTTCACAAAAACGGGGTAAGGACAATCAATGTTATGGCACTGAGAGGCAGGGGAGGGGGAGAGATGAGGAAAAAAGTTGTGGACCGACAATATTGTCCACCCGCAAAGGATGGAATGCACTCCTGTTTTGCTGCAGCAAACTATTACAAGGATGATTTTATAACATCTGCATGTCATACAAAAATAACCATACCTTGGCATACCAATAGAGCTTTGCGGCAGTCATCTAGGCTAAACCCCAGTTCCTGCAGTCGGGCCAGCTGCAACTCTGAAATTAAATAGTAATTTGCTATTAAGGCCTGAACACATATTCACATCCTGCTGTTTCCCCTCCAAAATATTTTACGGAAGCGGTCAATTGCAAAACACAAGGAACAATTCTATTTTCAAGAAAAGTAGTATTATCAGTGTAGCATAAACAGTTAACACAATTAGCAAGGTTGGGGGCAAGTCAACCAGTGTAAGACTGTAGATATACTTCTGTCATTATGAAGCCACATCCCAGTTGCCTAGAACTGCTATAACAAAATATAAGCTGTCATACTGGCTTAGTTCCGATTGCCATCTTTGCTTAAGTTGAGATAGGAACGCGCTTTTTGGCTGCAAGCAGGCAAACAAATCAGGAAGTCTTCAATTCCTGTGTCAGCTGAACCGGGAATCAGTGGTTATTAAGCAGGATATTATTCCGAAGCTGTTAACCATGGTTTCCTGGTTTAGATGACAACATGGATGGACTTCCTGGTATGTTTGCTCACTCAAAGGCAAGAAATATGAGTGTATATGACACTGGATGTCATATCTGTAGCAAACATTGAAAAATGTTTTGCGGGGAAGGAGATAAGCAAGTGATATGATTGTGATCACATTCAGACAATCTCCTTTTAATTGTATCATTTATTATTTTTATTTGTATCTTTTAGTTAAATGAATTAATCAAACTACCCACGTATGTCGTACTAAATCTTATGCATGACCTCAGCAATGGATGACTTAAGGCGAAAGTAACACAAGTTTAACTTTAAAAAATGCATTCATACCAAGAACAGGATCCAAAGTGTGCTTGTACGTTTCTATGGTTTCTGACACCAGTCCTGGGATCTCATTTACCCAAGAGGAAGCAGCAGGAGAAGGAGTAGCTGTGGCCCTGGCATCTGAAGCAGCAGCCGGGTCTGGCACAGCGTTGCTGGTCTGACCAGGAATGGATTTTGCAATGGCCAGAAACAGCTGGACATCATTGTAAGACAGCCTGATATCCAATGCTTGTAACTGAATCTGCATAAAAATTAGAAACAGCAGCAAAGAGAAATTAGCAAGTGGGATTGTCTACAGAATATAGAAGTGGACTAAAAACAAAAAAAATTACTTGACCCTTTTAATTAAACCATTAAAAAACAACAACCCGTATGTTTCGCTTTTAAAACAACCTGGTTTAAAATTAAATCAGAATCTAATACACAAAGACAGGTGTTAAATGTTACAAATCTCTTAGAACTGGAGCCATGAACTTTCTGAGTTTAAAGCAGCAATGGGGACTCCAGATGTAGCACTCCAGATGTTGTTGGGCTGCAACTCCAGAAGCCTCAGTCAACATGACAAATGGTCAGGGATGAAATGAGCAACCTCTAGGAGGCCACAGGATCCCCATCCCAGTGTTGAAATAATCCATTCATACCAAGGAAGAAAATGGGGGAAATATCCCTGTGAAGCGAAGTAAATTGGCAAAAAAGTCACATATAAATTTCGGCTTAGGATCTGTTCACTGGTGTCTGAATCCATCCCCTTGTTCCAAGAAGTACAATATCCCCCCCCCCCAGGAGTCCTAGGACACATCTTTGTTCCAAAAAGGCACACCTGTACAAGCAGCTATACAGCTTGTTATTTTTGTTTAAAGTAAGGTTTCATAGAATTGTAGAGTTGGAGGGGACTGCAAGTGTCATCTAGTCCAACTGGCTGCGATTCAGGAATCGCAGCTGAAGAATCCCTTACAGATGGCCATCCAACCTCTCTTTAAAAATCTCCAAGGAAGGAAAGCCCACCAGCTTCCAAGGCAGTCTGTTCCACTCTTAAGCTGTTCTTGCTGTCAGAAAGTCCTTCTAATGTTTAGTCGGAATCTCCTTCCTTGGTAATTGAATCCATTGGTTCGGGTCCTACCTTCTGGAGCAGCAGAAACAAGCTTGCTCCATCTTCCAAGTGACAGCCCTTTAGATATTTGAAGATGGCTCTCATATCACTTCTCAGAATTCCCTTCTCCAGGCTAAACTTAACACAACCAACACCCAACTCACTCAATGATTTTACATGTTATTATGACACTTTCAAGGAAAGCAATTAAGACACCCTTTGCAGGGTAGCTGGCACGTATATTTGAGAACGCTGAACACGCTCATTTAGAGAAGCCTGCCCCCATCCAGATGTTTGGGGAGGCAACTTCCATCAACCCCAGCCACCACAGGCTGATTTAGAGCATTACCTCTAAAACAGGCGGGAAGTCTTCACTGTTGAAGGCATCCAACAACCCTGAGCCGCTTGGATATGAAGAGTTCCCCACAAGCTCAACTTGAATTAGTACAGGGTCGATGATTGAGAGTGCCGTTTCCTGCTCGTTTCCCAGTCGGCATGAAAAAACCTAGGTGACACGGAACAGAGATCAAGCACTATGTTTGTGGTCCTCCGCCAACACAATTTTCTCCCTCCCCACACCTTGTGATGCCCAAAATATGCTGGGGGGGGGGGGAAGACAGGGCAAGGCAGTGGACCTTCAAAGTCTGGTCCAAGTTATAGTGAGATACAGCTTTCATGCATGTGCAGGATTCTACCCTATTAGATTATTTAAAGCTCTTATGATACACTTTAGGAGACAGCTTCCTTATTTTTCTTGCCTGTTGTAGCAATTGTGACGTGTTGCCCTGGATGCTGTCTGATTTTTAATTGTGCTTTTATCACTTCTTTTATTTCTTGTATTTCATGGCATTACAATTCGCACTCCATAGGGTTTAAGTTGCAGTGCAATAAAATACGATATAAGAAATGCAAGAAGCAACAAAATACAATTGAAGATCTATATGGATATTTAATGCTGACATGCTGCGGACCACCTGACCACAATTTGGGAACCCCTGCGGACCAGAGTTTGGGAACCCCTGCATTAGGATGACAGGTAAGCTTCCTCCACTCCCCAAAAATAACATCATCGCCTGCTAGAATTGCATCAGGCGGCAGGAGAGATGCGCTCTTACCTCAATGCCAGACAAACTGCCCGAGAAAGGGCGATCCACTAGTTTGGGTTTGTATGTGAGAACCGTGGTCCCCTTCAGAATAATTGCATTGGTATCCACACAGGACATGTCTTCGACCACCACAAATTCAGTATCTGAAGGGAAACGTGACAAGCATTTCTACTGTTGGTTAATGGGTTTTGGATACTGTCAACATTCTCTCTCCAGCTTAGTGTGGAAAGGCAGATGTCACAAAATGAGAAATTTAAGGTAAATAACAGCTTTTTAAAATTTCTGATGCATGGGACACTCCATCAAGCATCACAGAAAGGTAGCTGATGCTCAGCAATGGCCAAATAACACACTTGGCTCATCATTTCTGTTTATCTTTGCAGCCACATTTAACAGTTCACAGAATGCTGGGTGTCGACACAGAACTCCGAGAGCTACTGTCCCTAACCATAGTGGCAAACTCTAGAATGGGGTGTGGTATGGGCAGATAAGCGGGAGAAAAATCAGGGTTAACACAGACTGGCTGTTCCCTCCTCACCCTGCCAAGCGGGTCTATCCAGGCTGAACCCGAGTCATCCCTACTGTAATGGTTCAGGTCTGAAACTGCAGGTGTTCAACCTGCAAACTGAGTTCTGTGTTCATGACGGCAACAGGAACATAGGAAACTGTGCCTGATACTGAGACAGTATAATCTAGCTCAGCATTGTTCACACTGACTGGCAGTGTTCCTCTGGGTTTTCAGGCAGGAAACTCTCCCAACTCCACCTGGAAATGCCAGAGATTGGGGCCTTCTATTGTAAGGTAGATGCTCTATCCCTGGGCTTCATCTTTCCACTCTCACCCCCCACTGTATGACAGAATGATGCACAAATAATGTGGATAGAAGCATGGGTTGCCGCCATGGCAAAGCCTTGACCTCTGACTTCCCCCAGCCCTTCCCTTCCCAGCCTCCCGAGTTCTTGCCTTACCTGTCACATTTACCTTGACCTCCAACTGCTTTTCGGCGGAGACCTGAAGGGAAGAACGCTTTGTAACTATCCCACACTTCACTGCTTTGGGAACAACAGCGGCTTCACTGCTGTAATTGCGCTGTCGGGAAGGAGTGGCGCTAGACTCCTTTTTGGTGTCGCTGGGCGTCTGCAGGAAGTCGTGGACAAGCACTAGCCAATCGAAGATGAGAAACACGCGGAGGTTGTTCAGAACAACTGTGAAGCAGGAGGAATCCTTGGTAGATCTAGCGGGGAGAGATGTGAGCAATGAGTATGTTTATGCACCTTCTATCAACCCCAACTGCCCACTTTTGAGCATCCATCATTTTGAAATTATTTTGGGGGAGTATTAAGCAAGCAAAGCCGATTACATGACGGTTGAGATCCATCTTTTGTTCTAGTATCGATGCTGTGACATCGCTGGTTCAAAAGGATATACCGTATGTACTTGAATATAAGCTGACCCTCGGCTTATACTTGAGTGAGGCGGGCGGCGGCGGAGGGACGAGCCCTTTCTCGCCACTCATCCCTCCACCGCCGCCCGCCTCTCACAAGGGCAGTCACAGGAGCCATGGCTGGGAGAGGCGCTGTGCCTCTCCCAACCGGGCGCCTATGCCTGCTCTTGCTAGTGGGGGGGGGCAGAGGGACGAGCGGCGAAAAAGGAGCCCTTTCGGGCTGCTCCTTCCTCCTCCCCCACCATTGCCGCTGTCAGGGGCAGCGGAGGAGGAATGAGCAGCCCAAAAGGAGCCCTTTCGGGCTGCTCCTTCCTCTTCTGCCTTTGCCCATGGTGGCGGAGGCGGTGAAGGAGCGAGCAGCCCGAAAGCAGCCCTTTCGGGCTGCTTGTTCTTCTCCTCCTCTGCTGCCGCCACCACCAGGTTTGTGGTGTGGTGAACCGGCTTATACGCGAGTCAATAAGTTTTCCCGATTTTTAGTCCTAGAATTAGGTGCCTCGGCTAATATTCGGGTCGGCTTATACTCGAGTATATACGGTACTTGAAACAGCTCAGCAGCTTGGCATTGGTTCTTTAGATGCCAGCTGTGCTCCGTTATCCAGTCACACTAGTTTCATTTCATGCCCCCTTGTTGGCTCCCCAAAGGCACCTGATTGGCCACCTTCAGAACAGGATGCTGGACTGTGATGGGCTTTTGGACTGATTCAGCAGGGGTCTTCTTATGTTCTTAATTATAAATGTTAATGGACCAAGTGATGCTGTAGAGGCCATGAAATCTTGCCTGAAAAGGTGGCCTTGACACAGAGGCTCAAGTCCTTGGTGACCCTTAGCCTGCAGGCTGAAAACCAAGCTGAAGGCCACCTGTTCCACATGGGCCAGTCCTGGGCTGTCTGTCTCATCTAGCCTGGTCTCAGTGGCACAGTGATCTCGGGCTCCTCCTACCTGTAATGCAGCTCAATCTGTATTGCTCCTTGAGCACTGCTGTTCTTCGATGACTGGAAGATACAGCTGAACACGTTTGGCATTCCCGAAGCCATCTTCTGCCCTGTGTACCGCGTGTCAAATGCCATCATGGAATGTGAAACCAAGTTGATGGATTTGGTTTGGTTTGAGAAACCCTCAAAGAGCAATTTGGACTTCTTAAAGTCAAACCTAAAGGAATTTGAAGCAAGGGAGACCAAACAAAACAAAGCACCTCACAAAATGCTTTCCAAACAGTTTCCAAATATTCTGCTCATATTTGCATATTGTAGCATACGCTTCCTCCACTTCCCCCGGAAGAAGTGGGTTGTATCCAACTGAGTTTTACTCACGAGCAGACCCAATAAAATTAATGGACCAAAATGAGTGATCGCTGTTCATTTCAATGGGTCTAGCATTGGATGCAATCCATTGTGGCTGGCGGGAAAATTAAGTATAAGGAGATGGAGAGCTGGAACTCGGTCAGTATGGAAAACAACAAGCTAGACGGGTCAATAGTTTGAGTCGGTGTGAGGAAACTTCCTGCGCTATTATTACCTAGCTAAGTGTAGGAGGGTAAGGAGAAAGGTTGTAATTTGATGATAGGGTGGCTGCTTTGCATGCAGAAGGTCCCTGGCAACTCCAGATCTAAGTCACACAGAGCTGTTGATTCCCTACTGTAAGCAGAGATCACCCTGGCACCAGATTTTCTGAGCCAGCCTCAATCTGGCTAATGAAAGAAAATGAAAACAATGGCAAGTGAGGAATTATGGCTTCACCTTAAGTTTTGCTGTAGCCAAACAGGATGGGCAGAGCCTTGTAACAGCACTAGAATGCATCAGCCACAATGCATGCTGCAGGGTTAAGAGCTGTGAAGGACTGATACACTGGAATGGACACTATCGCAAATTGTTACTTTCCCTTCCAAATTGTACAGTGGTACCTCGGGTTACATACACTTCAGTTTACATACGCTTCAGGTTACAGACTCTGCTAACCCAGAAATAGTACCTCGGGTTAAGAACTTTGCTTCAGGATGAAAACAGAAATCGTGCAGCGGCAGCACAACAGCAGCAGGAGGCCCCATTAGCTAAAGTGGTGCTTCAGGTTAAGAACAGTTTCAGGTTAAGAACGGACCTCCGGAACGAATTAAGTACGTAACCAGAGGTACCACTGTACTTGCCCCGCTTTACAATCTTGCTGGTTTAGGAGGAATTTCCTTTTGGCGTCGTTCAGCGTGCTGAGGACACTGTCCGTCCTCTCTTCATAAGGGTGGGGAACCTCCAAGCCCACAGACTAAACATGGCGCTCCAGGACTCCTCCCCATTTGGCCCATAAAGCCATTACCACCTGCCCTGCACCTGACAGTATACATGAACTCAGGTGTGGGGTGGCTGTTCCTTTGATCGAGCAAGGCACACACCCACCAGCCTAAAGTGCGGGAGGGGGGCAGGGGAGGGGACGTTTGAAAGCAGGCTCCTACCAACCCATCAGGTGATGCGCAGTAGGAATGCCCCTTGCTCAAGGTTTACAAAAGCGCCCCCACCCAGCATTTCTCTTTCCAATCTCTGCAAAAAAGTTTTCCCACCCCTCACCCGCAGGAAGCGACATTGTCCCCGACTTTCATCATTTGAACCCTCCCTCTTGTCCTTTATCATTCATCTCTTGCATGGAGAAAAATGGAAAAATAAAAAGCAACCAGGTTAGAAAAAATCAAACGCAGTAAAGAAGATTTTTTTCTCTCTCCAAAGGGTGGGGAAACGTACCTGGCTAATGAGCCTTCCTTCCCCTGAGGATTAGTGAGTTCCAGACTTACATTGACCATGTCAATTAGGAAAGACACACAAGTGTACACTTCACCACTCAATACAGTCTAAAAAGGAGAAATGAAGAAATATGGTTGCAGAGAATGATTCCAGTTTCCTATCCACGTGTTGCACTGCACACAACATTTTCTGAACGATTCCCAAGTTGAAGGATCACAAACTTTGCTTACGGCAGCCCCACTTGTGTTCCACCTCATCACCACACCTCTCAGTCCTCTGGAATTCTCCACACCTACACACTCAGTAACAAGTGTTTCAATGTGACTCCTATGCCTTGACAGAGCCTCAACTTTCAGAATCTTCCTCTCTCTTCAACCAAGATTTTCATCTGACCCAGGCTTTATTAGTCAAGAGCCTTCTAACGGCCAGTCGTGGGCAGGGCCAGAGGAAAAAGCAGGTGAAACGATAAGTGTAAACGTGATTTTTACCTTTGTACCGTAGGTTAGTTTTTACACTTATTCATATGTCCCTCTCCATCCTCTGTCCAAGGAAGCAAGAGGCATTGCCAGAGTCCATAGACATATTCCAGCCAGGCAAAAGCATTCAAGGAGGTTGTGGAGCAGAGCCAGTGAAGGGGTGTGGATGAGGGCCACATTTGGCCCAGAGAGCCTGAGGTTCCCCACCCCTGGCCTATATTATATCTTAACACAATGCAAATATTTCAGGACAGATTTTTCAACTGCAAAAGTGCACTCCTCTCACATGTATTCTTGGGTCCTGTAAGTCATAAGGCCGCATGAATTCTTCTATCGGCTCCCCAAGATTATTTTCCAAGAGTCCACGAATTAGTTTATATTTACTCAGATCCAGGGAACAATGCACCGACGACAAGATGCCATGAACAGATATATCAGGCACCGCGTGGCTTATCTCCCTACAAAAGAAAAACGCACACGAGTCATCACAATGTCTCGGCATCGTGAAGCTGTTCTCCAACACTAACTTAATGAAAAAGGTTGAGAAGCGATCTTAAAAACTTCACAAGTATATATGAAAAACTGACACATTGCCACATAAAGCTGAAATCTTCCAAACGCTAGTGAACTTAACTCAGGAGGGGAGGCACCCCAGTGAATGTGGAATCACGGAGTCACATAACTCACTTGTCCAAGTTTCTTTCTACTTGCAACTTCAGCCTGAAGGGTTCAGTCAAGAGGCTCCCCCTTGTCTGCCTGACAATGAAGGATGGGAAGACCAGATCAGCACTCGCATCTTCCGTAGCTTTCGAATATTCTCTTGAGTACCTTTCAGCAGCAAAAATATCCATGTCCTGCAGGTCAACCACAATGCAGTCCAGCAGGCACATTTGTTCCTCTGCAAGAGATCAACCCAAAATATTTTACTTTCCCCTGCCCAGCTCTGCAAAAAGTGCTCTTTGCTGCAGAGCATCGTTCTACATCATAAGGGCCGGTTCAAAGCCATCTCCAAGTGGAGGATGCTTACCATTTGGAGTTAACCGTCTTCGGTTACACACTTAAGCACCATGGTGGGAGGGTTTGCTATCAAAAATACAGCTCCACAAAAACACCTTTCAAAATCTACATTGAGCAGGGTACATACCCAGACCCAGGGCCTTGCAGAGCCAGGCAGAGGCCCGGGCCAGGGAGATAATGTGCCCCCCCGCTTTTTTTACCCTGGGGATAACTGGGTTAAAATGTATTATACAATTTTTAATAGTTCAATAATGTATTTAAAAATCTATTTTTAAGTAGACAAATTTGACTATTAATTATAATTAAATTATAATTAAAACTTCTCCGTCGATTGTGAATATGCTGACCGAAGCCCCCTTTGGAATCGGGGGCCGGGGCCAAGTGGCCTATATGGCCCCCCCTCTGTCTGGGCCTGCCAGACCACCCTGACTGTTGGATAACGTACCACATCAGTGGTAGCCAATCTGAATAGAACCAACACAAAATGAACAGGAGAAGAAGATCAATGAGTCTGTTGGTCCAGCTCTCTCCAACTTACCAGGACTGTCCGGGACTGGCAAAGTGGTCATCTTTGGTGGCTTAGCCAAAGCACTTGCTCCTGGGTCACTTTTTAGCCGACTCAGATTTGGTCCAGAAGAGGACAGTTTCATGAACAACCCTTCAGAGGAACATGATGCCGTCTTGGACTCATCAGTGCTTGCTGTTTTCTTCATGCTGTGTTTTGGGGTTCCCAGTGGGGAAGAAAACTGAACGGAATCCTGCTAAAAATGGGGGCGGTCCAAAGTTAGGGAAATTCACTGAGAGAAGCAATGGGCCACAAGTGTTTTTTTTTTTAAAAAAATACATCCATAAAAGGAAATGTCCTTGTTGTTTATTTCTCTAACTACTAGTTGGGCCTGAACAGATAACCTGGTGCTCTTCAGGTGTTTTGGACCAGTGATAGCGGATGTCCATTGGAGAGAACTGGACCGACAGTCTCATTGATGCTCTCCCTCGAGGGGGGACAGCTAACAGTAGGTGAAGGCAGAGTCGATGACGGGCCAAGTTTCCTAAGTCTACTATTCTACCTATCCTCCTCCCT